AATGTAAATGGTGGGGAGGGGGGGTGGGGGGGGGGGGGGGGGGGGGGGGGGGGGGGCGAAAAAGGACAGAGAAGGAGGAAAAGGAGATGACTTCCCCAATGTTTTTTCAGCTGTTTCTGGGGGTTTCCATGCAGCTGAAAAAAAACCCCCAAAACTGCCTTCTTGTGCAAGTTACCTGTGTCAGATTTTGGCAGAGCCAAGAAATTAATAGATCTCAACTCTTAACTGCAGGCTGAAGACTCCTGCCAGCCCCTAAAGTTCAGGAATGAACACATGATTTGCTGACTATAAAACCACCAGGAGTGCAGCAGGTTTTTCAAGTGTCAACACATAACCACACCCATTAATTTGTTGAGTGTGACATGCTACACTTGTAGTTTCTTCAGCCTTTAAAAACCTTTCAAGCTTCCCCCCTCTTTTTTCCTTTTATTGGAGATGGGTAAATCAGATGGGTACACACCTCTATCAGCATATTTTGACAGTGTTCAAACCTTTTAGTAAGAAAATGTATTATGCTACAGTAAAAATGCATACTTTTGTAATTGGAAGAAAAATGGCCAAAATCATAATTTAGAGGTCAACAGCCAATTATACATTTAATGTCCAGTTAAATAAAAGCACACAAAATTTAGAATGCAAAATTTAGAATGCAGAATCACACATAAAAGAGGAATATCAATGAGGTTTAACTGTAGAACAATAATAAAGCCCAAGGAAAAAAATAACTTTACTTACAAGAAAAGAACATAAAATGCCAGCAACAAAGCATATGGCAAACCATCTGATTCGAGTACCAAAGCTGAGTGTTGAAGCATCAAGGACCTTAATAAGAAGAGAGGAAAAAGAGGATATTACAAACCCAGTTTAAAACAATCTAAAGGACTTTTTTTCTTTACCACTGAAGTCCTTAATTTCAAACAAAATAATTTTAAGCTGGAAATAGTTATTTTACCTTGCTTAACAGTTGTTTGTGTATTAATTCTTTCATATTACAAAATCATATTATCAATCTGGAACATATGGAAACATATTTACAAACAAAAAAAGACAAAACCCATAAAGGTATATCCTGGCACGCAAGCAATGCTGCTTCACTTTCAAACAGATTTTTTAATCACCACACAACTGAAAATAGTCACAGTTGTACCAAACCAAAAGAATGAATGGATCTGCCAACAATTTTCAAAGGAATTAATCCATTTGTGCAACACTCTAGGTTCCTATAGATATTACCACCTTTTCCTGTTACTAGAGAGGATCCATTGTACATATTAATGCCAGTATCCACTGCAAGCATTACAACTCCAATTTCTCTTCCAATTACCTTCCTGAAGGTATAGGCAAATTAACACAGTTTGTCTCATCAGACTAAGCTAACTTGCTGAAAGGGAATATTTCACTTCCTGCTCCTCCAGAGTGACTCCAGAACCTGAGCTACCTGACACAACTCCTGACATGAGAACAGAATTTATGTTCCTTCTATTCTGATGACTTGGCTAATGAGGCAAGCCAGCTCTGCAAGCTGTCAGAAAAGCAGCAGGGCTGATGTAAGGAAAGAGGCAGGGCCATGTATCTGGCAGAAAGGTCCCTTTCAGCAGAAGTGATTTGCTAGATAGCTCATCTCCACCCATGCTGTAAGAACAATGCATTTCATCTTACTCCAGGTCACTACAATTAAATGCACTTTCTGTTCTAAACTGGCCTATTAAGTGAAGTGTTGCTTCAGCTTACCTAAAATTACTTTAAATAAACAACTTTCCTGTTTGTACAGGTGTCACAGACAAACTTGCTCTCCTGTTATTTAGGCAACAGGTATTTTAATCAAGACTTATTAACCAAATATACACGATATACCTTCCTCAGCCAATGAGTCTGATATTTCTCTTTATCTCCTGAGAAATTTCTCTTTCAGGCAGTGGTAAGCTAACCAAGGAAATGTGATTACTGCTTAGAACAATTTCACATTTGTACAAATGAGGAATCTGTATCTAGTTCAATAAAAAACTGCAACATGCACACACACATAAAGGTGCTGTGAGGACAGAATTTTCCAAACGTCAGAAGATGCAGCTTACCTTGCTAGGTCCAACACTTTATCCTTATGTATGCATTAAAAAAACAGACAAAAACAATAACTGAACAATGGTTTAGTATTTTAAATCATATTTGACAGTCAGAGTCCTAAATGCCTGCATTTTTAAGAAGAGTAGGAAGAGCTGGTAGCACACAGCTGAAGATACCCATTTCAATCATGCCTTTAGTTACACCTATTTATGCAACTAATCACAAGCACACATACACACAAAGAGTAAAAATCCTTTCCGTCTGCATTCAGAAATGAAGCGTAGCTAAGCCAATAATATCAGTAAACCTAACACACACATTTCAGATTGCCTAGAAAACAGGAGGAAGGAAAGATAAATCCTTTATTCAGGTGCATCAGGCTCATTGCTCCACTTACTGCTCTTCTACTTCTAATCTTATTATCTGACAGTGCTCCTGAAGTGACTACCAGGAGATTTCATTCTTCAAATAAATTTGAAAACAGCTTTATCTTCAGTTAAATTCCTAACAGTTAAGAGGTGAAAAAAAAATCCAGCATAAGAAATAAAAGAACCACACAAAGGTTTGGAGCAAAAAATACTACAAACCCCCAAAAGTTTGATACATTTTATGGATTTAACTCTTAAAAACTGGTTGACAATATATGCACATGAAGATAAGCTGTGGCATGAGGGCTGCCAGAGCATTCTGTGTAATAATAAGACTAAATCCATTAAATGGTATTGAAATGAAGGCTCATCCTTCCAACCATTCCCAATGGTGTCACCATTTATGTTGTCAAGCTCAACCTATTCAATACAGTTTGAAATCCTGAAACTGGGGATCTGGTAATGCATTTTCTTAGTCCCTAATATTTAAGGGGACGGAGGGGAGACCTCATTGCAGTCTACAGCTTCCTTATGAGAGGAAGCAGAGCGGGAGACACTGGTCACTTATCTGTGGTGACCAGAGACATGACATGAGGGAACAGCTAAAGCTGTAAAAGGAGGTTTAGGCTGGATATTAGAAAAAGGCTTTTCACCCAGAGGGTGGCTGGGCACTGGAATAGGCTCCCAGGGAAGTGGTCACAGCACAAGCCTGAGAGAGTTCAGGAAGCATTTGGACAATGCTTTCAGGCACAGAGTGCGATTCTTGGGGATGGTGCTGTGAAGAGCCAGGAACTGGACTCTATAATCCTGGTGGGTTTCTTCCAAGTCAGAATATTCTACAATTTATACCTTTTGGGTTTCACGGAAGCAATGCAACTCATTGCCTTTCCAAGACGCCTGTTTGACCACTGCAGAGAAGCACCTTGCTGCAAAAGTTGAGTTACAGATACACAGTTCAGCTGTGTAAACCACAGACACCAGCTTGTGCTCAAATGCCAGGCTCACTCTAGAAGCTGAGGACCTGACAGTGTAGGAACCCTGCCACACGTGCTGCAGGTAGTAATTTCAATACTAGGGACCATGGAACACCCTGAGGTAACAGAGATTATGAACCCTAAGAAAAAGGAAGTCTAAGCTGCCCTTGCAACAAAAGCAGGAAACACAACACAAAGGTGCTAAAGATTCTTTTTGTGTGTCTGACATAAATTATACAGCTAATCCCAGATTTCAGACAAAAAGAGTTGTCATTGCAGTCTACGGTATTTGGATTAGGAAAAGCTTTTACTTAGGAGACTGAAAAAATTTCCAGGCATATTCCACATCCGTGGTTCAGGTGGAGAACAGTAGTGGTGGCAAGGGAGCTCCTGTAAAACATACCCTTCTTGCTGTACTGCTTATCAGCTTGTTTCTAAGAAGAAAAATTAAACTGAAATCAACAAAAGGAAATCCTTGGTTTTCTATTGCTGAACTTTAATGCCAAACTCCTGGGCAAGAAGCTTTTTATTCACAGGCTATTTCAAGCTAATAGCATATGAAAGAAATGAACAAAACATCCAAAAATCAAGAGGAACCCCCAAGTGGAAACCGGAATCTGGAATGGAGACTGTCTGAAAGATAAGGAACATGCTTGCAATAACAGCATCACTGCTGAAGAGTTTGCACTGGACACACAATAAATAATATAAATGATAATCCATAAGGCTGCTTTTGATCAAAAATAGTTTTTGTGGCTCTGAACATCCACCTAGGCTCCCCCCATATATTAATAATCTTATATCAGTTTTCCACATGAGCAAACAGAAAAACAGAACCACTTTATTTTCACTTGTCTAGATGTAATTAAAAATTACATCTTCTCTCAATGGTAAATATGCAAGTAATGGAGAAAATGCAAAGAAATGTTGAGTAAATTTGCAGAATTGAGTTTCTAAACCGTAGCAAAACAATATGTATAGAAATATATTCTCATCTTTCCCTAACAGGCCTCCTTATATGTATTTCTATCACCAGTTGAGATTAAAATACAAGAAGTGTAACATAAGAAACGAAATATATGTAATATAAGAAATGTAATATACAAATTCTTAAAAAAATATACGAAATATCTGGTCTATTCCTCTGTTGAAATCTTATTGAGTGCTTTAAGCAGCTGTCATGCAACATCCAATGTGTCACATGGACTGATTTTACATTAGTTTTAGTGTTGATAAAACTAAACAGCATAATGCTGCCCTGAAAGCATCATAGCACTGCTACATTTATTATTTATTGTTGATCTTTTTGGTAAGGAATTTATTTTTTTAAATTATATTTAGAATAATGGATCTAATTGCAGCAAGAAACAACAGCTGGTCATCTGAAGAGTTTAGAAAGTACAGAAAGACTTCCCTGAATCATTACACAGTTCTTTCATTATAGACTTGATTCTTTTTAGCAGGAATGACTTGTGACTTCATGATAATGGTTCTGCAAAAACCAAGGGAAAGAATCCAGAGAAATCTATGGACATAAACCATATGTAATATATATGTATATGTATATATAATATATGTATATATGTGTATATATATGTACCTATAATATGTATATATAATTAGCTAAATATAATAATATATATAACCATATGTATATATAATAGCCATATGATGGCTATTACACAACTATCAGATATTCCAAAGAGAGGGCCTTTGTTTTTAGCCAAACATATGACTCATCTCCAGAAAGATCATGGAAACAGCTGAAGATTTTTTACACACACAATGCATAACCTCACACTTTCTTTCACAGCCCCACCTCTTACCAAGTGTTCCTCTCTGCATGGGTGCACACTTTTTTTGCTCTAATACACGCACTTTAAAAATAATCAGCACCACTTAGCTCTAGCTTTAGTGAATGTCATGTATGAATTTCCTCTCTAAAAAGAGGCTGTTCTACAAACACATTGCTACCTTGAGAGAAAAAATACAGCTGAGAAACTGCCTGACCTAAACACTTAATTTTTTTTTTTTTTTAAGACAAGGGGTATTTATTTATTTTAACGATCTTTCTGGTTCATCTCAGCATGACACTCCAAAGACACATTTATAAGTTTTATTCTATCATGTACCAGACAGGCAGATTTTTCTTATTTGAAGTCTTTTCTGGCTATAACAGTATCATTACATGCAATAGTGAAATCCTATATAGTTTAATTACTGACATTTAACAAATTAAACACCTTTTTAGCTCAGTTCTCTCCTCAAGATATAAAATTCAAATATAAGAGCATTAAATATGTAGGCATTTATCTACTGATTGCCACCTTAAAACAACTATCACAGCCCCAAATAAAGGACAACTCTATGTCACTATCATGTGCCTTGAGTGAAATGTGCCTAGTGATGGTAGAATAATCAATTCTCATGGAACTGAACTGAGATCAACAGAAATGAAAATATTTCTTTGGTAATCCTGAGAGGAGCAGAAGGTGAAGCATCCCTCCCAAATGCTGGCAGCCAGTTCTGGTGTGAAAGGGCAAAGATTCTACACTACCTCCAGAATCAGTGGACACAATTTAGACGCTTTGCTGTGGCAGAGGCCAAATTCATGAACCTTGAAGACCAATGGCAACTCAGTACAAAATCAAGTGAAGCATACCAGCTGCTAGAACTAATATCATGCCAGCTGTGCTCAGTTTGTGCTGGTTCCCCAAGGTTTGTTAGCCGCAGCTCAGATCCCAGCTACATTTCAGCCTCCTCCACCATGCTCCAGCACCCTGGAGGTAGCAAGCAAGATATTCCTTGATGTGGGGTGTTTTGATCTGCAGTTACATGAGTTAAGAAGGAGCTAAAGGTTCTTTGTAAGCATGCTCAGCTTTGCTTCAACCTAGAGATTTGTTCTCAGGAATGTATGGTCTACAAACACAGTAAAAAGGAAATAAAAAAATCCTCTGACGATGAGGAAGATAGTGGGAAGGAAATAGAACAATTAAGCCATACTTAGGAAGTAAGGAGCAAAAAGTAACTTCAGCAGAATGTATACAAAACCTTTGTTTCTGCAAATTTAAGGCCATAAGGGAATGGAGAAACAATTTACACTGAATCGCAGACTCAATCGGGTTGGAAAGGAGCATAGTATGTTATCTGCCCCCTGCTTAAGCACAGGAAAAACTTGTAGAAACTGAAGGACCCCAAGCCACCAACACAGCCAAAAGCTTCACACAAGAGTAATTCGCCAAAATTCATCCTCCAGGCAGAGCCTGTTGCCCACAACGCTCGGCGCACGCCGCAAACTTCGGCCTGTCCTTTGCCTCTCCCGACCTCTGCCCCGCTCTGACACAGTCGGGCAGGCACCGGGAAGTGGGGTGCGCGTGTGCGCAGGCCAGGGACGGGGGAAGGCGGCGCGGTGAACACGGCAGCGCCCGAGCCACAAATCCCGGGCCGGGCCCGGCGCGGGGAGGCTCAAGCGCCGCTCGATCCGCGCGCCCCCGCGCCGGGGAGGGCGGAGGAAGGGAAAGCGGGCTCTCGCCAGGCCGTACCTGCGCCGTCAGTCCCTGCTCCTCATCGTCCTGCCCGGCCAGCACCCGCCGCAGCTTCTCCATGCCGGCCCTCCCTGAGCAGGCCCGCGCCGGGGGTCGGGATGGGGCACGACGGAGCCACGCTCCGCCGCGGGCCGCCGGCCCAGCCGGAAAGTGACGCGCACCCCGAGGCGGTGGCGGGGCCGCGCCTGCGCAGTCCCGTCCGCTGCCGCGGCCTCCCACGGGACTGCGCTGGCTGCGGCGCCTAGCCGTGTGTGCGGATGCGGCAGGGACACCCGGTGCAGCCCTGGCTGGAGGCACCGGGGAGGAAGAAAGGCTTCTTCAGCCTGACCCCGCCTTCATCGCCGCCCGCGGAATCGGCCTTCGCACGGCAGCGTGATTTGCATGAACGCGATGAGCACAGGAGATAGAACACAGCACCGCGGGTGCGTAAGGCTCCGGTAGAACCGCACCGTACAGGTGCAACTTCCTTAGCATCAGTTTCTGCCCGTTGCTTGTGGTTCTTTTGCTTGGCACCACCGAACAGCTCTTCAAATGATGCACAGGAAGTTCCAGTTGAATACGGAGGAGAACGTCTTTTCTATGCAGGTGACCTAGCACTGGAACAGATTATCCCGAGACGTTGTGTAATCTCCCTCAGTGGATGTGTCCAAGAACCATCTGGATGCGATCCTGAGCCGTGTGCTCTAGGATGGCCCTGGAGAACAGTGTGGTTCCGAGCAGCCGGCGGAGTCCGGCTTGGCCTGACTGTTCACGGGCCCGGTGCAGACGGGCCGGGCCTTTGGTCACTCACTGCCAGCCGGCAGGCACGCTGCGAACCGCAGCGCCAGCACCTTCGTCCCTCCTTGAATTGGGGGTGCCTGAGGCTTCCAGCGCCCACTTGTTAGCAAGCCAGGTGTTTTTCCAGCTAGAATGGGTGCGGTAGGGAGAAATGGGATTAGGTGTGAACACCTTTCTCTAGAGATTTCCAGTGTGGTGCTGTTAAGCTCTGCCCCTGTAGGAAGGGGTGGGGCAGAGTCCATCACGCTGCTCTGTGTCTTAGCTTTGCCTGCGCGTTCCCAGCAACACTCCATTCTCCATCTGCCCCGTTCAAGCCTGGTCATTCCATTTAAGTCTTCCCTGTCCTGCTTTGTTCAGACGCTGACCCTGTGTGTCCTTTGGGGCTGTTTCTGTATGTGTGTGTCTGCTTTTGGACCAACACCTCAGCACTGGCCTGACTCGTTTGCAGGGGGAATGAGGTTGGTTACTGGAGGGAAAGATCGAGGTGTCACATGCAAAGTGACAACAGGCAGCAGTGTGGACTGGGACAGGAGAGGGAGATGGGTGATAAGGGCTGTGTAACATGTTGCTGTGTGAATGAAACTTGAGAAGAGCCAGGGCAGAGCAGAGCCTCCAGTGAGGCCCTTAGGAGAGAAACCTTCCCTTCCCACCCTCCTCAGCTTCCCACACACACTTGGGAAGTTTCCCGTGTGCCTTCTACCTTGGTTTTTAGGTGAAACCCTTGGACACAAACTGTATCTTTCCAGCCTGATAACACGCCATTAGCATCTCAGGAAGCTTTAAGTCAAGGCTGAAATTAATAATGGAAGAAACACTTGCGGACATGTCTGGGTGAAAGGGTGAAAGTAACCAAAGAACCACAGAATGTCACTTCCACAGAATGTCACTTGAGCCAGGCAGCATTGCTCATACCTTGTGAGGACCTCTGCAAGGAGGACAAGTGTGTAAGGGAACAACAAAACCACAACCCTGCAAGAAAGGGAGGAGAAATGGGAGAAAGAATGGAGAAGGTATATGAGGGTGTGTCTGAATGTGCACAAATGATCTTTCTTAGTGGCCCCCAAAATTGTACAAAATTATTTGTTACAGAAGTGTTTTAATTCCAAAGCATATGTGAGACCAAAATATAAGAACAAGAAAGTTCTCTTTGGTTTTTTCCCCCCTCCCAATTTATAGATAGATATGGATAGATGCAGCAAATTTAAATATTGAGTCTAGCCTTCTGGTCTGCATGACTTTAGGCAGGAGTCATTGGCTGTGCCTTGGATTACTAATGACTTTCTGGTAGTATAGGGAGTACAGGCAGGTAAGCACCTGGCAGAGGGCAAGCTGAAGCGGTTCTTTTGTTTCTGTGTGAACAAGTGCACAGAGAAGAGCAGTGCACAACTGGGCAGTGTGGGGCATCCAACTTGAATTCTACTGCTGTCCCCTCTTTCCCACCTGCAGCTGCCTGGGCTATGCAGCCTGCCTGGAACCCACAGCTGTTTCACTCCTGAACGAGGCAAAGGGTGTTTTTTGTTTCCTTGCTATTTTCTTGAGCATAAGGTTGTCATAGTCACCCCAAATGTATTTTTTCTATTTCTCTGCTCAACAGAAATTCTTAATTCTCTGTGCTGTCATGAAATACCATGAGACAGTCATTACCTTGCCATGAAAAAAGAGCCAGTTTGGAAGGCCTGTGTTGTTCAGTGTTTCTGTGCTGATGAACTTTGGCTGATAAGGCAGCAGGATCAGAAAATTACTCTGTTTTTCTAAAAAGGTAAAATTCTTTTGCTAGCACAAGTCAAAATAGCTGGTACAAAGTATCATTATGCCTTTAGATCACAAACCTACCACATCTGAAGATATTTTCTGTTTTTATGATGACAGTGTTACGGATTTGCAAGCCTTAGTTTCTCTGTTTGTAAGGGATGGTGTGGTTTGCTTATAAGTTTCGTTGACTCTTGACCTTACTGGTTTGCACGTATCTGCATCTAATTTGAAGCTAACCAGAAAATCTGCTAGGTAATGTTGTCTTCCTGAAAAATGTGTGAATTCAGCCAACTTACTGAACTGATGCAGTTGTGACATACTTTTAATGTACATATAGCAGTGTCTGTATGCTTCAGTCTTGTCGCTGTTACAGCTGTGAACCTGTAAACACATATTCTGCAAAAATAACAGCTCTGTGATTGCTCTGGTCATAATGTAGGGCTCTAATGTCCTGTATTCCTCCCCACCCTTGCATTCTTTACCTTTGGAAATGGAATGTTTAAATGAATACTGCTGAAAGGTTAAGATCAGGTGTTATAAGAAATGTTAAACAAGTGGTCCTACAGAGACCTACTGGGAGCATGGTAGAAAATGAAATGTAGAGCTGCTCTGGGGCCTTGCCTATTCCACTTGAAGAGACCCCACCTCAATCCTGCTGTGTGGTGCAAACATCTCACATCACACAAAGCAGCACCTTCTGAAGGCCTCTGAAGGGAAGGGAGCTTAACAGTGGGGAATGAATGCCTTTTGTATATTTTGAAAAGATGTTATGTGTCTGAAAATGCAACTATGAACATCTTCCAACAAGCCTGCATTGCTGACAGCGACAGGTAGTGGTAATCCAAAAACAAGGAAACAAAAGCTGAAAAAGCTATCTCCTTTCTTACACTTCAGTTCAGGAAACCCATCTCTTCTAATTTGTCTGCAGATCAGCCTAAGTCACAAGCCACATGGTGGCTTCATCCAGCTTCATGGTAATTGTTTCTCCTGTGATTCAAACCTTTCCAGATCTAGTCATCACTTCTCTAGGGACACAAAATAACCTCTCATGGGTCTCTGATCTAGAAAACTGAGGCATACAAAAACCAGCTACAGATGAGCTACTTCCCAGTGTGCTTGGCAGGCACCTGGTAGTAGCCAGATGTGTGTGTGATTCACAGGAACACTATGAGCTATTGCAAAGCTTTGGAGGGAAAGGTAACAGCCTTTATTGGCTCACTCTGGCCAAAACAACACATTTGCAAGGAAGTACCAAGCAGCCTTGTGAGCTGTTCTCTGTGTGGCATCATACACTCAGATCAGGTAGTGCAGATGCTTGGTCAGCTGATACACTATTGGAAACCCTGTCAAATGTTTGAACCTTTCCTGTTACTAACAGTAATCTGGCTGAGAGCTGATGCTGATGTTTACCAAATTACAGTATAAGACACACAAAGTAACAAATAGGTTACTTATCACACTGCTGGCTTTCTGTTTTGCTTGCAGATGGCCCATAGAATCAAGTGTGTACAAAAATACCTTATAATCATTGCTTTGCATGGCTTCCCCGTGAACAAACACAGCAATTGTTTTAGGATTTTAAGTCATCCTAGGTGCAAGGAGATGTGGTATGTCTGAATCTGCAAGATACGAACATTTGAGATAATCTGGCTACTCCCTTGGCACTGAAACAAGTTAAAATCTGGAGATCTTTCTGTCCCGAAACTGTGATCTCAGATCCAGTCAGAGTCCAACTGGAGTGACAGATTAGAGGAGATTAATATCTTGTCCTGGCAGGAGACACCTTTAAGGTTTCACACTACATTTTCTCTTGAAGGAGAATACTGATGTAATTTACATCACTTGATAGCACTCTGAGAAGGCACCCTTTAAGTTAACACATACCATAGGACTAGAAACATGATTATGAAATTATTCCCATCAGCCTATAAATCAACATCAATTAGAACAAGTTATAGCAGTGGTTCTCCTCTGAGTAAGTTATGTACTGAATGCGTTTGGAATTATTAAATACTTTCCAAATTTTAAGTGGCTTACTTTGTACCTTTACATTTTTCTAACACAATGGACCAAATACAGCCAGCATGTAAGTGCTGCCATAACTGACACTGCCTTCTCTTGCACCAAAGGCTGGGTTTGGACCATGCAAGTTTCACTTAATGAGAAAGACATGATCCAGATTTCAGACGAAACGAATAAGCATAAAATTCCTAGACTTGTTGCCATGGTTACTTGAAACCTGCTGTTAAAGAAGGTGGGAAGAAAGGGAAAGGATGAAAAGTAGGAAAAGAAGAGAGCAATAATATCATGGTCAGGCTTAGGCCATGTGATAAAGGCGATGATCTGGAAGGAGCAGGACCCCAGTGATGACACTTGGAACAGGTTATTCAGAAAACCAATATTTCTGCCTTCTGGCTGCTATTGAGTTGATTCAATGGACATTGGTTATTTTTAAGTGGTTACCATAGTGACTAAATGCAATGCACTAGTAGGTATTAGATCTGCAAAGGCGGAAAGGGATTGGGTGGGGAGAGACAGGCTTCTCCACAATTAATTTAATAAAGAAATTGCCTAATTTTAAACACCAGACTGATTGCTTTTCTGCTTTATAGAGACTGTAAAACTTGCAGCAATGTCTTGCTCAATCAGAACAAACTTCAGCCTTTGTGTAAGTTGGCAGCAGAAATACTCCAGCTCTACAGAAGCAGAACTGCAGTCATATTGCATCAGGCAGTGAGCACTGTTCTTCCCCAAATGCAGATAGGACCAATGGACCCTGTAAGACACAGGCTGAAAACCTAAGAGAGCTGGTAACTGTGCTTGTGAATATTTCTTGTATTATTGTTTTATATTCCACTGCTAACTTTGAAGTCTGTAACATGGGGATGAAGAAACAGATTGTATTCATTAAGGGCTTTGGACTAAGTGATATGAACATATCACTCTAATAGTATTAGTTATTTCATTACTTGTCTCTATCTCATCTTTTTATTCCTGCTCTTTTTGAGTGCCTTCACATTCTTAGAACTGGCAGGTAAAGAAATAACTTGTGTCTGCACCGATACCAGTGTAACACCTACTCATGTACAATAGAAACACACACAGCTGAAGTAAGTGCGTTTGGTAATTTGATACTCTACATATTAGTTTGACCATAATAGAGTTTGTATCAGCATTCAT